GTAGTCAAGGGGGGGCTGTGGGGGCTGCAGCCCCCAAAATTTTGAATAATTTCAATAATTTCATAAGAATGTGTAAAAAATTATTGAGCCGTAAATATCAATTTGTTTTGAGAAAGGAAATTAAATCCTGTTGAGACAGAGTTCTCATATTTAATTTAGCAAAAAACAGTTATCATATTAAATTTGTAAAAAAACATCGTTTATTATGTATTAAAAATATATTTGTTGATTTTCCTTTGTTTATTTGATACAAAAAATTCGATAAATTACACGGGAAAAAATGTTGCTGCTGGTACAACCGCAAAAAATGGCGTTGGGAGAACGACAGCACTTTAACTTGTGAAATCTCAATCGGATATTAATATTTATTATTCAAATTTTTACACTATAATCTTTGACATATTCTGCGACTTGTACAGCTATTCCGAAATTTTCGAAGCACTTTACAACAAAATGGCTGATTTTTCATAATATTTTGTTGAGTTTAGTGAATTTTTTTTTCAAACATTAAAGTTGTGTTACGAATTTTCGAATTAAAAATTTTCATTAATGCTACATTATAGTTAAATATTTGAAAAAATTTTCTGAAAAGTTTTAGATCTTTGACGCGGTGTAGAAACTTAAGCTTATTAGCGGCTAATGTGATTAAATTGATGTGCAAAATGTTAACAACGTTACAAAAACTTATTATTTATACAGCCCCTCCCGAAACATTTTTCTCACTACGCCAATGATTATAAATATATTAATTTCATATAAATATAATACAGATAACAATAAAGTTAAACGCTTGTTATGTTTTAAAAAACAACGAATTACGATATTAAATTGACAGTATAAAACATGCGGAATTAAATATGAAATCATATTTAATTTTAATTTTTAGTTTTAATTTTAATGTATAGAATTTAATAAATATTGTCAACTTAATTCCGCTTGTTTTATACCGTCAATTTAATATCGTAATTCGTTATATTAATTTCATTGTCATAATTTTTGAATCATAATGATATACCATTTTGTACGATGCACTTTAACTTCATCTGAAATAATTTCTAAATTAATCGTAACATCGTATACAATATATGCATAATGCATAATATTAATAACGATATTAATGCATATCATTACGTAGTTTTTAATGGAGTTATAACGTTCATCTTTAATGAAGTATAACGTTCGTTTCTATCCTGAAAACATCGTAATTGAAATTGTTTTTATCGACATATTACTTGGTTGTTACAGGTTTAAGAAACCTAATATTTCCCTTCGCGCTAATAAAATTATATTTGTTTTCGAGAATTAAGATTTACGATAAAGAAGAGATCACACACGATCATATCTAAAATCATTATATTTTATAAATTATAAAATGTCAATTCTGTGTTAGTTGTAATCGTATTTTAAAAAAGTCGCGATTGACACTAAATATATTTTCTAAATTCCGAGGCAAGCGTGATTGTCAATAATACGCATTTAAAATGTATATTGAAGAAATCAACGATGTATATAGTGAATGATAAGGAAATATTGCAATTAAAATATTTGAAATCGAGCTTATCAATATACATATTATGTATAAAGTCTTCAAAAATTTGAAATTTCATAACGATCTAGCGTGTTCGTACCTCACATAAAATATTTTTACTCGTTCTTATTCCACTGCAGTTTCGAACATTTACTTCATTGATGCCATTATTGATAGAGCTCGAATTGTTCACGAAAAATAATTAACCATCATTGGAAAAAGGACACGCTAGGTAGAAGTAAGTTATTTGGATTATAATAACGAATCTTTGCATAGAGAAAGGATTACGCATTTTTTTTCTTTATCTTATTATGAATATATTATTTTATATTTCACTAATGCTGTTAACTAATAAATTGTAGAGCAACTGCGTTTTCTGGATTTGTACAGAGTAAGTCATTAACCGATTAAATCGACTATCAAGAACAGGTAGAGTAGATCGAACTGATTGTGAGTCAAAAAGTCTTATACCATTTCTCAGTTTACGCAATATTTAACGAGATATTAGACCTTAAAGATAGCCGAATAAACGCGTTTATTCGGTCTACTGCCAAAGCCTCTCAATCGCTCTCTACGCGCGCGAGTCGCGAGGCGTGGGGATAGGCTGGCAAGCGCGCCGTCCGAGTTTAGAGGCTCGTGGCGGTGTGCGCGGCGCGAGGCGCTTCCCACTTCCCGTGCTAATGATGGCGGATATTCGGCAGTAGACCGGATGAACGCGTTTATTCGGCTATCTTTAAGATCTAATATCACGTTAAATATTGTGTAAACTGCAAAATGGTATAAGACTTTTCGGTTCAGTTTGGTCTACTCTACCTACTCTTGATAGGTGATTTAATCGGTTAATGACACCCTGTATATATAAAACTGCTAGATCCTAACGTAGGTTCCGTATTCTCATTATTCTTCATATAATTATTATGCGTTTCAGATCTTTATTAATATAGAATTGATTATAGATAATATTTCATCTGAGCTACGATTTATAATAAAAACAGAGTAATTTGGAATAATCCTTTCGCCATGAAGATTTTTGAATTGGTAGGTACAGGTAGATACATAGAAATATACTAAATTATCACATGAGTAGACAAGTAAGTTACTCGTTAGCAGTAAAGGGCAACAATATAGCCAAAGGCAGCGTTATGCTTATATTGGTGAATCTAAACGCAACTACAATTCATTTTCTGTTATCATCTGGAAATATAATGGCAGTCTGTTTCGGACTAAAAATGTATCAATGAGAGAAATGGTTAATATTAATGTTTCAACTTAGTCACAATTGATGTGAAAAATCGATTAGCCAAAACGTTTCGCGATAACAAGAAATTATATTATATATCTGTTGATCCGATACTTTTATGCAAAATGTAAGTTAGACTTAACAATCTTAGGCGCAATCGATTGGCTATTACTGTTTACTTCTGGCAAGATCAAAAATTAGTATTGCCTATTTCTTATCTCGTAAATTTATACGCGAATTCACATTAATTATAATTCTCTTCCACTCGCTAGACGATCTCGATTTCGGTGATATAGAAGCAATTCTAGTTACGTTTAAATTCAACGCGTGTATTTTAACTACGTATGGCTATGCCTCCGTACCATCTCTACTCTTTACGCGATATTATATTAATTTATATAAATAGTATTTTAATGATATAACGGTAACATCGTTTATCTGCTAGATATCGCATAAGTTATAATAGTCCATCTTGTATAAATACACGGAACTTAAAATCAATCGAAATCGAGTACAATAGAAACATGCAACGGGGGTCAGCCCGTTAATTTTGAAATGTTTGAAAATGATTATGACTCACTCTCTTTTGCGCATTTTATTTAATGTTATAAGAAAGTACGTTCCTCGAATATTAAATTTTCGACAACCTATTACCATTTGCTATGGATATATAACTTATCGGAAGCTAAACAATTGCTATCATTTCCATCCACATTAATACCAAATTACAAGCGAGCTTATGTAACGCTATCTCAAAGATAATTCGATTTTTACTTGTCATTCTTGAAAAAATGTAATAATAACGCTTTTTAGTACGATATGTCTATATATACAATATTCTAATTTCATTGATCCCGCCTATCATATAAAGTTACTATGATGTGTCATAGTCATGATACGTAATCTATTACCATCTTCCAATGCAGATTAGGTAAAACGTTACCTTTCGTCTACATTACGCTTACTTTACGACGTATGATATTCATCAGTTATGACAACAAATCCCATTCACATTAACTGTGATTGCAGTAGTATAGTATATTCGAATAAACATGTGTTATCGAGAAATCTTTACAGTCACTTGACTGCCCCTGAAGTTATTCTCATGTGTATTACGTTTCACATAATTCAGATATAAATCAAAAGTATTGTTAAAAAGACGTTTATTTCATCATTATCAGATAATATAGAATTCATTGATGCGTCATTGTATTACGATAATTATCTCGTCATTTCGCGATATGTCTTATGACGATAAAGGGTTTCACGATATAAATCACATGTAGATTCATCTCACAAATAGGCCCAGAATGTCTGGACAATATCAATATATTGTATGTTGAAAGAGAGTAAAAGAGAGCGATAAAGAGAAAGGGAGAAATAGGTACCCACACGTTCATAAAATACATAGTTATAATGATTCACGATATTAACTCGAACAGTGTCGTAGCTGCTATATTGCTGTACGTCGATATGACTCATGCACACATTTTTCATCGAATCCTTAATCAAAATGATATAATCTCAAAGGAGACCTAATCATTAATGAATCTTGCTATTTGAGTAATTGCCTAATTGCGCAGTATAGGTACCCATCTGTGCAGGAATGTTCACAGCTGTATTACAGTTACATGGTATTGCTCCTAAGTACCCGATGAGAGGATTCTCTTCGGTTTCATTATCTCACAAACGTTCAATCTTCTTCAAATATCCTTGGAGATTCTTTGCCGAACGGTTATCTTATACAACGAACTTTTTACTCCGCTCTCGTTAGATTGTCATGTTCTTGTTTTTTGTTACATTTTCGAAAAAAGTCCTAATAGGTTTATTCCAGTATAGACCTTCGCGCGATACTTTGCCGTAAATACTCGCGAGATCCGTATTTGGTGTCTTAAATCGATTAGATATGCTCGAACATTCTTGCTGCTGAGAATTCTACGAAGATCAGTTGTATTTGCGGCACGCGATATCTTGAACTATTCACATAGTTCAACAAATCCCGTATATCATAAGATCCTCAAAAAATTCAATTCACACTTAACTCTTGTACCTGTTCTAACTTTATTTCCTGTTTACTAAAACTTATTGTCTAAAAAAAGTACACAAAGTAAAAAAAGTATGGAGAGACGAAATAGAAAGACAATCGATTTCTCTGTCGTAAACTCCAAGTTTGAAAGCCTTGTTACGTTGACAATGAAGTTCCATTGTTATACTTATCATTTCGATGTCGGGATACGTAATCGTCCTCTCGTATCAGTCCTTCTCACTCGATCGTTATTCGCTCGTTATTTCTTGCAGTACCTCGGATAAGAACGGAGATGTCCGTTATTACACACTCGTCATTCGGCCGTTTCAGAAACGACTCTGAAACGAGTCCGATTAACGGTATGATTATTAAGAATGTCGCGCTTGCTAAAATTTGGGGCTCAGTATCAGGATGTTGGAGCATATCCAAGATTTTTCCGCTGCAGAAAAAGCGATATCTCACGGAAAGTCGGTCTTTCACTCTCTTCTCGTTGCCAGCACTCAAGCATCAGATCGTAGATATCTTTGGAGGAGGCGGTGGGCCGAGGCAGATAATCGAAGCTGTTTCTAGGATCTTCTTTGCAACTGTCTTCGGGATTGGCGTTACTACAATCAAGGGCATGATGCAGTTGCTGCAGGCTCTGCACTACTTCCTCGTCGGACAGATGCTCGTAGGGGACACGTCTGCCGAGATTCAAAATCTCCCAGAGGGTGACTGCGAAAGCCCATACGTCGCTCTTGGTTGTGTACTTTCCCTGAAAATTGGATTTAATGTACATTACTCGGGAATTTCGACGCCTGTAACTGCGATTTAAGAATTACCGACAAATCTCGATACATTGAGTGCGCGAAATGCCATTTGAATAAAATAGTCGAGGTCACAACTTACCAAAAATATTGACTCCCATGCCATCCATCGTACCGGCAACGGCATAGTTCCATCGACTTTGTAGTAATCGCAGGCGTACAATTCATTGTCCGTGCCAAAATCCGAGATTTTGATATGATAAGCCTTACCGACCAAACAGTTTCTATAAGCAAAATTATAACAAATTAAAAGTATAGAGAAAGCGAGATTATTTTTTTATTATCTCAGATTGTGGGATAGTCTGCATATTGTTTTACATTTACTTATTTTCATGCTACTCTCAGCGAATCATTCGATTGGAACGCTTATAGACTTTAGAATAGCTCGAGTATTTCTAGGAATTGAACAGAGACTTTCCGAACAGTTTCGTCACAAGTTCGCATCAAATACTTTTTCGAGCGGCTCGTCTTATTAGGGTCTGAGCACAGAATTGCACATTAAGATAGACTTAAATTGTAGACGTAAGCAACGAATAAGTTTATTTGGCGTACGACGTTAGAATTAATGGACATCGCTATATCTGATAACGTGCTACCACGTGCTATATAAGCAAAAGTAAGTAATAATTTGTAAGCAAGTCAAAAATAATCTTTTTGATTGTCCTGAAAGTCTTGAGGGGATGCTGGAGTTACCGATGGAACGCTCATTTCGTATTTCTCATGCCATTTCTTTCTTCTTAAGTTCTTACACAGAATAAAAATTTCTTCTCCAGAATAAAAAAAAAAACACAAATAAATATGAAAAAATACAGACTGGTATGAGAATCCCCCAAAATTGTAAATTACAGTTTTCTGTCACCATGTAGGTTTTCTTTCTTCATATATATTAGGTGTGTTGGAAAGTTCCGTCCGTTTTTATAGAAAAAATATGACTTTATTTAAGAAATAAAATGAAAATATACATCAATCAAAGTATTGGCCATCGTTAGATATGACTTTTTCCTATCTTTCTGGTAATAAGCGGATCCCACGACGAAAGAACGACTCATCTTTAGAGGCTATCCAATTAGAGACCCATTTTTTGACGCTTTCATTGAAGTTGAAGTGTTCCTCTGCAAGTGCGTGTGCCATCAATCGAAACAAGTCGAAAGGGGCATAGTCTAGTGAATAAGCCGCATGGGGTAGCACTTCCCAGCGAAGTGCTTCTAACGTTTCCTCAACGAGTTTTGTGACGTGAGGTCGAGCGTTGTCATGAAGCAAGATCACTTTATGTTGTCTCGTTTCATATTCTGGTCGTTTTTCGTGCAATACTCGATTCAAACGGATAATTTGTTCTCGATAGAGATCTCCTGTGACTGTTTGACCAGATTTCAACAGTTCATGGTACACTATACCCTTCTGATTCCACTAAATACAGAGCATTACCTTCTTTCCGTGGATATTTCACTTTGGCATCGATGTCAATGGTTGGATCGCAAATGGTTTTTCGGCGTTTGGGGTTATCGAAATAGATCCACTTTTCATCACCAGTCACAATTTGATGCAAAAATTCCTTTCTTTGTTGCCTAACAAGCAGAATTTCGCAGGTGGTTTTTCACCTTTCAGTGTCTCTTGGCTTCAGTTCATATGAGACTCATTTTCCTTCCTTGTAGATCTTTCTCAAGGCTTTCAAACGATCGGAAATAACAGATCGAGTACAATTTAATGTTTCTGCAAGTTGTTTTTGCGTTTGACATAGTCTTCCTCCACCAATGCTTACAATTCTTCGTCTTCAAATGCTTTTGGCCGTCCAGAACGCTCTGTGTCATCTACATCAAAATCACCACTTTGAAAGCGTTGAAACCATTTTCTGCATGTTTTATCGGTAGGAGCACTATCACCATAAACTTCTACAAGTATTCGATGAGCTACAGCTGCAGTTTTCTTCCATTTGAAGCAAAAGATTAATACTTCGCGCAAATGACGTTTAATTAGCTCAAATTTCAACATTTTCGATGCAATGAGAAACAATGTTATTGATGCAAACGTACACTTTTATATAGCGAATTTTATTGACAAATGGGAAAACTAAAAAATTAAGCTTGATTTAGACATTAGATTTATCGACAGTTCTAGCTATAGCTACTCGCCGCTAGATGGACGGAACTTCAACACACCTAATATATAAACGAATGTAAACGTATATCCAAACAAACAATACTTTCTCTGACTAATTTATAAGAGTATCATGAGATCTTCAAATTATGATTTTGAAGCTTACAAGAGAAATGATATGAGAAATACGATTTGAGTGTACATAACCTCACATTCAAACGATATAAAGGATATAGCAGAACAAAAAATGTACGTAACGTTTTACTTAACGGCTCATTTAATGTACGTAATGTTTTACTTAATGTATTATTTTTTTATTAATGTAATGTATATTATTAATGTAATTATGTATATTATTAATGTAAATATTTTCTTGATGTATGTAATATTTTAATTGGAATTAAAAATTTATCGACATTGATTAATTTCGGTTGTCTCTTCATCGCCTTAATGTATTACGGCAATCCTGTGCTCAGACCCTGAAACAAAAGAGACATAGTCACATTGATCTCTAGTCGGTACGTGACCGCGTGGGGTGCATAGCGTGCTCGTGCAATCTGCATACGCGTTTGCATTCTGTGCATGGCAGTTAACCGGAAGCGAGAATGGTTGCTGTCTGTAATATTTACTCGCGTATGTGGTCGGACTACATTTCCTGCTCAAAACACACAGCATGTGCAATTATACTCGATGAGGGAATAAACTTTCTCCATATTGAATTATTACAGCAATAATCGTAAATCATTCTTTTTTTTTTTAAGGAAAAAGCAGAAAAGCTTGATATCAAAAATTCATCCGTTTGACAGTATCTGCGGGGATAGTAGAAGTGATATTATATACTATAATAATCTTAATATGTAATAGACATAATTACTTAATATATCATAAATTCGTTTGGTATTTTATCTCGTTTATCCTTTGAGCAGGTTCCACTAAAGATATGTTTAAGCATTTTCCTGAGAAGAACTTATAATTAGAGATGAATAAACATTCATGCAACTTCCGCTCAAAGTTTCAGACATTCATCGGTTCGTTTTAAGGCTCCCGAATACCGGTGACGGTCATGTTGGAATTGTGACGTCATAGGCGAGAAAAACACATTAATTTTTCTTGCGTCCCATTTTTTAATAAAGACAATTTGGATAAATTTAAAAGGCGAGATCGCTCAAAAACACTTGAAAATTGGCGGAAACTATCCTTTCCTCCTCTGATAGTCAGTAAATGGTCGTAAAAGGCACGTAAAGTGACAAAGTGAGCCTATACTCGGGCAAAATCACACAGTTTTACAGCTGATGAAACGAGTGAAATATACGCTTTTACGTATACAATTTCACGATAACTGCAGTTTCCGCCAATTTTTAGGACTTTCACGAGTACGAGGGAAGTCATATTTTCACAAATAAGCAAATATTGACGAAATGGCACGCAAGAAAAATTTTGTCGTCAAAACTGGTCAAAACATCACTTTTCCACGCCTATTAGTTCAACCTTTTACCATGGCGAGGCGCTATACACACACACTAGCATGAACCCGTGTCTGTGTGCTCCCCTTCTACTCGAAAATGAGCACACGGACATGAGCTTGCATTTGTGTGTATAACCAGTAGCGTACTACCAGTTTTGCTAGCCACCGACTAATTCGGTGTCGCTACCATCAACACGGAGTTCTTGGCTGAGTATTCAGGAGCCTTAACGGTTTCCGACTTTCTATGCGAAGCGAGAAAGGGTGCACTTCCGAAAGGGTGAACTCTCCGCTGTAGCAATTCCGAAGTTTTACCCAACAATCTTTTAGAGCGGTTATTTTACTGTCTATTTAAATCTAACTAACCTAGCCCAATCCATTTAGTGGTGTGAGATAGCTCTCGTTTTGCGTAGAAAGTCAAAACCCACGTGCAACAGTACTGACATGTGACTTTCTATGCGAAAACACTTCCATGATTGTACTGTTGCACATGGGTTTCGACTTTTTACGCGAAACGAGAGCTATCTCACACCACTAAATGGGTTGGATTAGGTTATTTTTAACAGTAGTGGAGCCCCCTCGCAGGGGGGGGGGCGGAATCTATGCTATATCTATACATACGACTTCTATAATTATACTGTTGTGCGCGCGTGCGCGCGCGCACACACACACACACACACACACACACACACACACACACGGGGGAGGGGGTGCAAGGGAGCGGACCTACGGCCCGCCCTCCTCCCGCACCCACCCCGTTGATAGAGGTCTCCCCCAACAGTAAATTTATAGCAACAGTACAATCATGGAAGTCGTGTGCCCCTTGGCAAGGGGGAGAGGGGGGTGGAAGTTACCTCGCGTGGAAAGTTTAACGTTCCTGAACAAGGAAAGGTTGTAGAATAGTACTTAATATCATACATGTATTATATATCATATGTTAATTTTAAAACTATGATTGTTAATAACTTTTTAACGAAGGACGAGCGACAGCTAAAACCTGTTGGAGGTTACTCAGGGTCATGACCATGACAACATACGTCAAGGTCAAGGTAATTGGGGGAGGGTCCCCTAATCGGTACTTTTACCGTTTCTTGACTTATTCATTATTTATTCATCTCCTATTTTACGTTTGTACAAAAAAATTTTAGTTTAAAATTATCATAGAAAAAAGAAGATATTGATGATATTATTATATAATATGTACCAAATAATTCCACGCATATAAACGTGAAGAAAGATCATGAAAAGAAAAAATCATAATTGAGCAAAAAGGAAAGTCTTTTTTGTGTCTATAGTTGAAATCGGAATAAAAGCAGGCTTTCTTAGCAGGAAGCAGAATGTTTACATTCAGCTTGCGACGACTTCTTCGGTGGATAAAGAAAATCATCCCTGTCATTGTGCAAGTTGCAAATCGAAGTTAAATTCGCGCGCGGAATCACTTGGCCATTTGACGCAAGCACTGGCGCTATTGTCAATAGGAATAGAAACGTTAAGTGTACTTGGTTGATTGACGCGGTTGTATAATTGAAGTCGATTCCAGCGTATCAACATTGAAGTCGGACATTCGGCCTCAAGTTAGATTGAAAGTTGAATATTGGATGTGCATTGGAAAAGAAACAATTGAATCATCGGAAGGTTTCTCGGATACTGGTACCTGAGGAAGCAAGT